CGTCAGAGTCTGTGCCTCGAACTGTCCGAAGGGTCGGCTGGCCACTTCGAACCGTTGCAGCAGTGGCTATGAGTGTCCGCAATGGCGCCGGCGTGAGGAATAACAAACGACTAGTATACTTGTATCAAGAAACAGGTCGGCCAATGGGCCAATGTGTTTTTGCTCCGTTCGGCAATAAGAGGGCGAGTGGCGCAGTGGCCTCCGACCGGTTGGTGATCGAATGAAACCACTGCCAACGAGACACGGTACTGGCATCACGACATCGCAAAGGACGAAATTGTGTCACGTCTAGCGCAGGCAATGCCTATAGAATCGCTCGGCGTGGAAGGCAACCGGTTTGGCGGTGACCGTCCACACGACGACTGTACCTGCACATCGTCAGTGTCATTTTCGTCGTCATCGTTGCGGGTTGCGGGTGGTGACACGAAGTCGCTTCAGCCGCCGGTAGGAGTGGTGCACAGGTGCAGCACATCGACATACCCACAGCTGATGCCTATGCAGAGCAAAGGCAGGAAGATCGTGTACGTGTGCCTGGCAGCAGCCGTGTGGCACATTGGCATGCAATGGGCGAACCTGCTGTTCCCGTATCTGCAGTGGGAGGTACATCCTCCGCTGGACATGGTCGACATCGGCGTCATACATGCCGTCGGCAGTCTGTCCAACATGGTCGGCGCGTTCATGATCGGAGAAGTAATAGATAACTACGGATGCCAGTTATGTTTTTTCTTGTCAGCGATTGTGACCGGCGGCTACTACGTGCTGTTGAGCCAGGTCACGTCATACCATGGCTTCCTGCTGGCTCAAACGCTGAGGATCGGCTTCCACTTCGACCACATCACCGAAATATTCATCTCCACCGTCACGACCGAGAGCGAGCGGACAGCGGCCCTTCTGAAGATGGGCCTACCGATCGGCGTCAGTACCATCGTCGGACCATGGGTAGCTGGCAGACTTACTGTCGCCTACAACCTGCGGTTTGCCCAGTTCGTCAATGGCGTTTTCACTACAGTCGGCATCCTGCCGATCATCTACCTAATTTCAGACGTGCACGGGGTGCCTCGTATCCACTTGTCCAAACTGCGCTTCCACAACTACCTGTCGATGCTGAGCAACGACCGCCTGTTGAAGTGCGTCGCCATGCGCGCCTCGTTGCTAGTGCCCCTGATCTGCTACGAGATGGTCAGCAGGCAGTACTTGATCAGGACGTTCTTCGAGAAGGCAAACGATGCCACGTTGCTCTTCTGCATCCTCGGTCTGTCCATCCTGTTCACCAACTTCTACGCCATCCGCAAATTGCAACAGCACTTCAAGCCGAAGTTCGTCATGCAGATGGCCGTCGGTGTGTTGATCTTCTCCTACGCGTCGCTGCCTCTCATTTCTTCGACCCTGCAGCTCATTTTCGTGATGACACTCCAGACCATCGGCTATTCGGTTGCCCTGTCCGAGGCGGTGTCCCAACTGACGACCACCGTGGAAAAATCAGAATTGGGCAAGGCCACAGGCCTCGCCACATCCCTCCATTGGCTGCTGCACTGCACCATACCACTGATTGCCGGCTACGTGCTCCAGACATGGGGACACATTCCGCTGAGCCTCGGCGCGGCCGTCGTTTCAGGCATCGCATTATACGCAATCACGGAATACGGCCAGTTCATGAACAGGCACATGGGTGATCTACCTTTCATGTTGAATTATTAATTGAAAATAAAGTAGATTATTTATTTATTATATGTGATGGTAAAATCTTCCATGCCGGCAGAGCATCTGTTTCGACATGTTTAATTCTTCTGTAATTATCATCGTCACCGGCTTAAGTTTCGGTTGATTAACAAGGGTAATAATATTG